TTCCCGTCCACACGCTACACGAGCGTATACGAGATGACACATAAGAATTAACACTGCTGAAATTCCATTTAAAAGGAGCATAAGTCACGAAATATTCAGTAGAAAAATATTTTGATGGAAAAACATATTTTAAAAAGCTCTACGATTACGTAGAAAATAAGATATGTCTAAATTCTGTGTCGTTGCTTTTTAAAACACGGTTTTTTGGTTGTTTTTATTTTTTTTATTTTCCTTCATATTTTAATCGTGATAAAATGTAAGAAAACTGAAGAAACCTAACGCCAAGCAGTGCGGCAACTTCATCAATAAGAGCGTAATGCGGATAGCCGAGCATTTAGGCGTTTATAGCCATCGTCTGAATCTATGGACATTTAATTAAAAACGACTGGTTTTCGCCAGAATACGTGGTCTTGGCGTGTCAGCTCGAGTTGAATGGCTTACATCAGAACGAAAGGAAATAAATGAATAGCAGCAGGATGCATTAGCTTCACAGTTCAGATGTTTTCCCGGAAGTCAGATTTTTCTTTTTTTTATTAGTTTTCCGGACGCAACCTTGTACTCTCATGAGCTGTATTGCTGCTTTTGATTTGTGGCCAGAAAATACAAAGCTCACAATCACCAGTTCGCTCTTCACCTCCCAAAGAATACAGTGTAGCAGACTTTGCTGTGTCATGACTTCGGAGTTAGTATGAAAACAGCCAGCAATCAAAATAAATAAGTTTAAATGCGTTTTAACAAATTATCGTAGCTACTTCAAATTTTTGGACACAATGGGAGGAAGAATAATAATAATTTGTTACGTTCTGCGAACCGTAAATTGCAAACAGCCAAGGGCATTAATAAATGTTTGTTGATGTGATTTAGCATTGCTTCAGAGTTTATATTTTAGGCTTCGAATTATGGGACACATTAACCGGGGACCTAGGTAACTAAGCTAATTACGCCTAGAAGAACCCGGAGGATTAACATCAACAATACCAAAGCCTGCCATTTAACGCGGTCGTAAGTCAAATTCATTTACTTGTCACTGTCAAAACCTATTCTCCTCAAGACGCCACTTAACGTGGTCCGCCGATCATTTGCCTGCATTTATCCCACCCCCCTCTCCCAATTGACCTTGACATTTGTGACGTAACTCATTGATTTCAGCGTATTAAAAATATTATGTGATAAATCAAGTAGTATCTATTTGATAACTGGAATCCATATTCTTTTCCGAAAGTAAAAGACGATATTTCGCATCTATACAATTAAAGTGAAACCCCAAAAACTTCCCAAAACCGCCGACACAAAAGCCTGTAAATGGACTCCATTCTAAACCATTTCTCAAAACATATTTTGGGACAACCGTAGAATCTTGAAGAAATGATTGAAGCATCTGATTAAACTCGCAGACTCAGACGACCAAACAGGAATGAATAAGTGAAGACAAATTGACACCGTCGAAGAAAACTAACAAAGTTTCAATTAATTGCAGACACATTTCGTGGTCTTTGCAAGAGGTACCATCGAAATGAAACGGATTGTATTATAAGTTTTGGAGACCCTGAACATGTAGGTTGATTTTCTGCATATAACAGAACGAAATATTTAGGTTCGCCTGCACAGCAGTGGTACATACACGACAGGCAGCTAATGTGACAATAAAAATAAATCTATTAACCCTATAAAGACCAATTGATCTTTGGCATTGAGAACTGTTGTGTTTTCCTTCAGGCACGGCCTGAATTCTTACGTAATATTTCGATGAACTTCAATTTCAAACACTGAATACACAAATGTAGCGCCTAATAACTTTGTTTAGGGCGCGGTCTGCGAATAGTTACACCGAAAATTAATCATGCTTCGTATTGTCGGAAAGATGCTAACCACGTTATTTCCACTCACACCAATTCGCTGCTGTGAACCCCCGACAGATTCGTGATCAACATAACCGACGCGCGCTGTGAGGCCAGCGCAGAAACTGGTAACTCCCCTTCGTACTGCAGTCTGTTGGCGGTGACAGGTCATCGCACGAGAAAATGAATGCGCAATTAAACACACAGAGCAGACTCCTCGTTCAAAAGACGATAGTCGTTCAGATGATCGATAAATATTCTAAATCTTAAACAATCCAAAGTTCTGTGATGTGTCCATAACAGCCCAGCTCAGTTGGATCTAGTCCTTTGTCCTGAAGGATCATTTTAAAATTGCCCTTTCTCGATTTATATAGTTTGAGGTCTGGCAGCGTCGTTAAACAAGACACAAACAAATAAAACTGCCCTTACATTATTCATAGTTCTCACAAGTGGTCTACTCCGTCATCCTCCTTGACTTAATCGCCCTAATTACATTTAATGAAGGATAAGCTCCTCATTATACGAGGGTCGCTCATTAAGTAATGCCCCACATTTTTTTTCTCAGCCAATAATGAAGATAGAAAAGTGTACTTTTACATGCTTGAGATTTGATGTTTCCCGCGTTCGTGTACGGAGTTTCAAATGATTCCAACCGATAGCGGAGCTGTAGTGAACTGTTAAAATGGCGTCTGTGAACGACTCTCGTTACAAGCAACGAGCTGTAATTGAATTCCTTGTTGCTGAAAAAGAAACGGTGGTGAACATTCATAAACGTTTGTGTGCTGTGTATGGAAGCTGTGCAGTCGATAGGAGCACCGTTGGTCGCTGGGCTAAGAGAGTTAAAGCTTCAGGAAGTGAAGAAACCGAGCTCCGTGATCTGCCGCGCTCTGGGCGTCCTGCCACAGCCACCACTCCAGACATGTTGAACCGCGCGGATGCCATTATTCGTGAGGATCGGCGCATCACAACTCGACAATTGGCCCAACAGCTTTCAGTCAGCAATGGAAGTGTGATTGCAATTATCCAGGCTCTCGCATATTCGAAGGTGTGCGCAAGATGGGTTCCACGAAGTCTCACAGCAGACCACAGGATTCAAAGGAAAACGATTTCTTCTGAATTGTTGGAGCGTTTTGATGCTGAGGGAGAGGTCTTTCTGTCCCGGATCATTACAGGTGACGAAACCTGGATACACCACTTTGAGCCAGAGACAAAAAGGCAGTCAATGGAGTGGCATCATCCTCAATCACCGAGAAAGAAGAAATTCAAGACAACTCCCTCCGCCGGAAAAGTCATGATGACTGTCTTTTGGGACAGTGATGGGGTCATTCTTGTGGATGTGATGCCAAGAGGTGCGACCATCAATTCAGACGCGTACATCAGGACCCTGAAAACCCTCAAGAAGCGTTTTCGACGAGTTCGGCCTCACAAGCATCCAGCAGAAATTTTGCTCCTGCACGACAATGCACGCCCTCACACAAGTCTGAGAACCCGGGAAGAAATCACCAAATTGGGTTGGACGGTGCTACCCCATCCACCCTACAGTCCAGATCTGGCACCCTCCGACTTCCATCTCTTTGGGCCCCTTAAAGATGCTATCCGCGGAACAAGATTTGAAGATGACGAGAGCGTGATTCAAGCAGTGAGGACATGGCTACGGGGACAGGACAAGAGCTGGTACCGGCAAGGCATGCATGCCCTTGTTCCACGCTGGCGTAAAACCGTACAAGTTGATGGGGACTATGTGGAAAAATAGTATGTGTAAAGGAAACATTGATTTATATTGTCACTAAATTTGAGCCATCTTGAATAAATATGTTCTGAGGAAAAAAATGTGGGGCATTACTTAATGAGCGACCCTCGTACAATTTTCTCCATTCTCCTATTACTCCCTCCCAGAAAAATATTCTCCATAATACTTTATTTACCAACATCCTCCTCACTTATATTCTTCATTTAGACCATGTTCCACACCCATTAGTAAAGAACACAGTGCGCTAAAATGTAAGCCACAGGTTGCATTTATGCCCGTACTATCGAATTTCTTCGAGAGGAAGTTTGAGAAGGAAAGAAAGCTTATTCGCTTTAAGTCGGTTTCAGATATTCCAAGGTTAGACCCGTTTAAGGTCAAGGTTACTGGGTAGGAATGTACATTTAGTCATCGGCTAACGTGAGCGTGCAGAAACGAGTGCTACAGAGGGTAAGGGATATTTCAGTCGGCAAAAATGGAGTGAAGGGATTTTTTTTTTAAAAAAACGGTAAGATAAGTAAATAAAGAAACATCGAAAAATGAAGACAAATAGAGTGAATTAAAAAGACAAAAATATATTGTAGGGCATCAGGGCTATGAATACTTAGTCATCGTCCTGATGATGGAGGCAGCAACGACCTCTGAAACGTTGGTAAACTTCTACGAGACTACGCGGCGCTACAATCAAGAAGACAGCCATATTATTAAGACATCGTAACTGTCCACGTCAATTGCAAATATTGAAGTAAAATGCCAAACCTTCAATTGTCTTAGTACAGAAAACAGGCATATTTATTGAAATTTTACAAGGTCAGTTCTTTTGTTTTTTTAACAGTATCTGTATCAACACAAAGCTCTTCCAACGTACTGACGTTATTTCTTGTCTGAACATTCTTAGGACCGTCCTTACACCACATGAGGTGTCTTGTCTTGCCTGTCTGTGTGCATTATCAGTCCTTTCAAAGTTACTGCCTGCATGAATCAATTATCACCCGCATGGGCTTTCGGAATTTCCAAACCAGTACTTTGCAAACACTCAAACTCAAGGTTCAATTTATAACGCAAATAAAGACACTACACAAAGTACTAGACATTTTTCATTATTGAAACCACATACAGGTTGATAATATGAATGAATAAATAAATAACGTATCAGATATTTTAAGGTAAGAACACGTAAAAAGTAAAGTAAAGTTTGTCCCACTATACGCCATGTAGGCGTTTGGGGTGAGAGGCGGTATAGCTCGTCTCTTCCTTGACCTCGGCACTAGATGGGGGTGGGAGGTCAGCATCACGCCCCGGCCGGCTTTACACCCCGGGAAAGGACCCCGGCACCCATTGTAGAGGAGGCTGGGTGGGCCCCAGAGCCGGTCTGGACGCAGACGCTAGAGGAAAAATCCTCTGCCCCCGTCGGGGATAGAACCATGGTCGTCCAGCCCGTAGCTAGTCACTATACTGACTGAGCTATCCATGTAGTTCCTTTAAATACGGTAACAAACTGAAATTGGTTTAGAAGTAGTTTTGGTCCATTTGCTAACAGTTTAATTAATTTATTTTGTTTACCGCAACACGTACACAGATGTACTCCGGTGCAAATCCATGCTTCTGTTCATAAAATGGATATGACCTTCCAGCGGATAAGTTCCCTGATAAAACGGTATTCGGGGTGAAGCACAAGCCTGCCTGCCTGCGTCATCCTCTCTGCCGCAATAAAACCACCGTCGCATCTCGAACACCAACATTTCGCATAGAGGAGGGCACACGTCATGAAATCACTTCTGTTGCTGCTATGCGCAGTCGCCACCGACGCGTCGGCTTGTGGCACCTCAATTACCACTGCCAGTGGCACCAAGGCACCATCACAAATCTGCAGCGGAGAACTCATCTTTAACGAAGAGTTCGACACCTTCGATTTTCAGACATGGAACCACGAGAAAACTGCAGCAGGAGGTGGGGTACGTACCATTAACACCTTCGACTTCAAAAACCTTCCCAAGCAAACAAAATTTTCGTCATTGTGTCCTAATTATTATCATTTCTCAACAGAAATTATGAATGAAATAGCTGTGATATCTGTCAATGCATCTGCGTGCCAGTTGGTCGGTCGATTTTCATGGAATTTCGTATTAAAGTTAAGCCAATAGGGCTTCACATATCACGTAGTATTAATTTTCTGGTATAAGCAGTAAGGACACGCGGATGTACGAATTTGATTGGTGGGAGCGATCTCCATTCTCCGGTCACTCAATGGCGCTTAAGCAGAACGAACACTGTTTTCTGTCTGACATTTTAAGCGTACGGTTTGTGCAAATTCACTGCACGGATATAAAACAATGAAATAGCTAACTGCATGGGGCAGAGGCCTCCTCGAGAAACTGATAATCGCTCAGCTAGTCAAGAAATTCCTCATCAATTTTTTGACCTCCAAGATTCATCGTCGTCTTCAGAAGAACCTGTTAGTGGAACTTAGCCGAACCAATTCACATCAAAGTCCTTACACCACATTTCGATCCATTTTAATATTACCCTCTTCATCTAAGCCTGTATTTCTCAAATAATGTCTTCCATTTGCGTTTCCGACTAAAATTTAGTCTGTATTTCTCCACATCTCATTTTCCTTCATTTCGTGGTCCTAGTAACATCTGAAGCAGGCCTTGCCCTATTCCATACGCCCTATATAAGTTTCGTACTCTGAAGTGTCCTTAAGCGAGGGATGATAGAATGGTCATGGAAAATGACTCGAGTCGTCGTCTGGTTGTGAAATATTTTAACTCATCATGAGGCCTTTAACTGGAAGGTCCTGAGGAGTCCCAAGAGAGTCTCAGTGTATCTGATTTGGCTCGGACTCATACCAAACACGGTCTTGCAATATCATCACTGTGTTAACCTGCTCGGTAAAGTCGCTTGGAGTGTTCGCAACGTTAATTTGGTGTGGCGATCTGTTTCAGAACTGGGAATTCCAGATCTACCTTAACAATCGTTCCAACAGCTTCGTGAGGGACGGTAAGCTGTTCATCAAACCGACCTTAACAGCAGACAAACACGGAGAACGTTTCCTTTCGTCCGGAACACTCAAGCTGTACGGAGGGGCTCCAGCAGACGAGTAAGTGTGCACGGCAATCTTTTTCAGACTCTACTCATTTTTTCTTATTCTCTTGTGCTCATTGTTTATCGCAATCTTCTTTTCGAAAACAACTAATTATTCTCGTCATATCCATCGAAATGACCGATCGATCAAACTCGGTGTTACAGACCCTAAATTTTTTGGGCATATTCTGGTTTTGGCGCTTTGTTTAGAGATTTTAAGGATCTCCTGGGTCTGTCAACAGAATCTGATAAGACTCGTTTCACGTCACCAAATAAAATGGGAATATTAAATACCACGTAGAGCTAGACTTCAAATGTTTCGTTTACTTTAATTTATTTCAAAGGCCACATTACTTAAGGGTTTAATTTACGTTGTATGTGTATCGTTTGAATCCTTCGGCAGATATTGTGCATTAGGTCGTATGTGAGCCCCCTTGTTTCATCTTTAAAGCAAATCTAAGGACCATAACAAATATGAAACGTGCTCTACACCTATTTTCGGCCTAATTACATTTTGGTCTTTACTGCCCAAATATAGGCCATTCCTATTTTACACGAAACCCAAAAATTTCTACGTAACAAAAAATATAATCCTGTTACTCGTTAAGATCCAATATTTCTGTTTAAAATATTTTTTCGGTTACACCATAAAGTTACCTAACAATAAAAACAAAAATTATTTGCTCAGTAAAATATCAAACTTTGTTCCATGGTCTCTCTGTGTACTAATTGATTATTAAGTTATTTAATGATGCTGTTTCGACTGAAACGGTTATGAATTTTCGAAAAAGCTGGAAAGGTGGCTGAATAGTACGAATTTGGGTGGAGATAGTCGTGCGCTGCTTCAAAGTCATTTTCTTTTATACGTGTGAACGCAAGAAACCTCTGCAGCCAGGACCGTCGGTCACTTGGTCCAGGTCTCTCAGCGATAAAATTCCAGAGCATCACGTATCGCTATACTAATTTGCCTGCATTTGATCTTGTGTTCCTGCAGATGTACAAACCCGTCGGACTGGGGGTGTGAGAGAAGAGGAACAAGTGTACATGTCCTGAACCCGATCACATCTGCAAGAATACGAACGGTCGAATCTTTCAGCTTCTGTTTCGGAAAAGTTGAAGTGCGGGCAAAACTGCCGACTGGGGACTGGTTATGGCCGGGTAAGGGACTTCACGTACACTCAGTGACTGACTGTTCAATGAGCAGGGACGTTTCATAATCCCTGTCTTCACGACATGAAAATGGGAACGAACCGGACAATGATAGTCCCAACGATATTCTAGTTAACGCTACTGAATTAATTATTTTCTTATCGTCGTTAAGCAATCTGGCTGTTGCCACGCTACAACGAGTATGGATCTTGGCCGGCCTCAGGAGAGATCGATTTGTCCGAGGGCCGCGGGAACAAGAATCTGACCGTGCACGATCTGAACATTGGCACTGAACTGAGTTCGTCGACGCTGCATTTTGGTCCGTTCTGGCCCATAAGCGGGTGGCACAAGGCGCATTTCGAGAAACGTTTGGAAACGGACCAGGGTTTCAACCACGATTTCCATCGCTTTCAACTGGAATGGACCGCAGGTGAGATCTACTGTAGTGTAGTCGCAGTTAACACTTTTACTGGCATCCATCTTCTAAGTACTCAAACAATTTATGGAAACGGTTATGCCATTATGTTTCATTTGCAATAGCAGCATACAGAACCCGACTATAATAAATTTTCCAATACACCATCGATATTTTGCATAGTCACGTCTTTCGGAACTGTAAATGTTAACTGCTTAAAACAGTTATTTACAGGTAATCATAACACGTACCTCCATATAAAGATTCACATATTCCTAACGCCGACACTCAAAAAGAAATGCATAATGTTCGAAAATGCTCCCACACAAAACGTCAGTATCTTGTGCTTACAGCAGGCCAAAGATTCACCGTGGCTACTTTCATAAATAAAACGCAAACAAAGAATCGCGACTAGATTCAGTTTTAAATAACACCTTAGCGTGAATGTTCTAAAATACATAAAGAAGTTCAGCCCCTGATAAGAGACTTATTTTTACTTGGAAATTGCATTTAATTCCGAATATTTTCCCCGGTCTATTAACGGTTAATATCAAAGTTCGTTTAATTATTTGCCTTGTAATTACAGTACGTGATGGATAAAATTTATCATAGTATACTTAATTACTTCCAGATTTCTTAAAATTCGCTATTGATGATGAGGAACTTGGCAGAATCACTCCACCAGAAGGTGGATTTTGGGATCTTGCTGAGTTTAATTCAACCATTGGGACTGCTGATAATCCATGGAAATACGGAACGAAAATGGCGCCTTTCGACAAACAGGTAAGCTAGGAGAACTGGAAATAAATGGTGAAATATATGTTTCGAAAGTACTATTAAGTATCAATTATAATTCTTGTGTTGTCAACGCAAGAAGATTATCTGATTAAATAAATAATACATGTATGAGTAACCCTGGCATTAGGATTGTGATGCCCGGCCAATATTCATTTTGCCTTCGCCGTGTCAGTTCCAAAATCAATAACTAACGAAGAAGGTAGGTACTGAATTTCACATTCTTGAATTATTAGTGCATTTCGTGTTTCAGTTAGTATCATAAATTTTTTTTGCATGCATTAAGAGAAGTTTCTATGCTATTTCAGTTCTATTTGATCCTGAACTTGGCAGTGGGTGGAGTCAACGGATACTTTCCAGACAATGCAGACAATCCAGGGGGTAAACCATGGAGTAATAATTCGCCCCAGGTAAGAAAGAAGAATTCACCACCGTCAGCAATGTCCTGTCTATTCCAACAGGGCGAATTTAGATTTGGTTTTGTTTTGGAGGTCCATATTACACGTTATGTGATAAATTTCATTTCGGTTCACGTAGGTCCAATGATATGAATATCGAATTATTCGTGTTTTTTTTTTCCGTCTAATCACAATTGTATATAAATAAAATTATACATAAGATATTAAAATATCATTTACATATTTGGTACATCTTTTTACTACATGTTTCGGTTACATTGAACCATCTTCAGGTGTAAAGTTAAAAGTTAAAAATTATAATCTTATAAACTAAAACTTAATTACTGTTGTTGTGTAACTTCTGATGATGTTTACATCCAAATTCATTGGAGTGAGGGTATATTTTGAAGTGATAGTGGTTTAACATTGGCCTGTAACGTAAATAATTTAAAATATTTTTAATTATTACTGAACTTGAAAGAACGAGTATAGAAGACAAAATGTAATAAGGTAAAAATAAATAAAAATGTGATTAGATGGGGGAAAAACACGAATAATTAAATTTTAATTCACAATATGACGCAATTATATCAACTTCGAATATCGAGTATAAATATCCTGATAAAAACGCATTCTGTCCCAGGGGATATCGGAATTACATCTTGAAGTAGGCCAATGCAGTCTGTTTAAAATTCAATGTTTATTACCCATGACTGCCCTTCCATTTCATTATACGATATACATACATTTCCTACACTTGAAATAGCGTCGGTCGTCAGGAGATTTAGAGACACTATTTCGTCTTGAGAATTAAATATGTCAGCCGTATCAAGTTATATCTTACCGACCTCAGGGTCTAATATAAATTCTCCACTCGCCTGCTCTTCCTAATTCGATGAAATTCACTACAGGCTTCAACAGACTTCTGGAATGGTCGACGTCAGTGGCTCTCCTCTTGGCAGCTCGGCGTAGATGAAGACAGCGCTGCTATGCAGGTGGACTATATCAAGGTGTGGGCCATTTAAGTGAGGTCGCTGGTCCACGACCTGAAACGAGAGACCTGACTAAGAAGCCGCTAGTGTGTCTGGGCAGCGAGCAGTGCAGTAAATGAGGACATGCTACCAGTCAACACAACTTGTACAAGACCTGAATATACAACCCAAAAGTGGCAGCTCGTGAGTCTGAGAAGTGGTAGTTCTGCGCAAAAGGAGAAAAATCAGAATAGTTTTTCAACACAAAACAATGTTTTATTTTTTTTAGTGTTCTGTCTGACGACAGGTCGATATGAACAGGATCCTTCCATCCTTTTCTCGGACTGGGATCTGTTCATATACGTTCTTGGCAGATGATCCAGAAGTGGTTTGCCATTGCCTTCTTCTGTGTGTGAATGGAGTAATTGTTGGGATGCCACGGAGAAACCGGGGAAGCCCCCGGAGGAAAACTCCGTGTTTTCTAGACCACGGCCTTGCCCAACACAAGTTCATTATCAGAACAAGAAATAGTCAGCACACAGAATTATTCAACACTCATTAACAATAACCACGAAAAAGTTTGTGATACAGAAACCAGTCTAATACACGTGGTAACGGACAAGGGTGTTTACTATAAGCCGGCTGCGGGGACTGCAGCTCCTATACGCGCTGTACCAGTGAACTGCCCCTCACTCCACAGCCAAACGCGTTCGATGCTTTTGACCGGCTAGCCGCGCTGAAATCCTTGCAGTCGGAAGATAGCCCCGTTCTGCTTCGCAATCCTCACCCGTGGACTTTCTATCAGTTCAGCCAATTCGTGGATAATGACAACGTAAGGGGAAATATTTAAATAATGATATAGATGAAATAAAGTGTTACGAATTATATAAACACAAACATAAATTTTTAATTTTTTTAAAAAAATTATAGGGGTTGCTACAGCTCTGGAGCTCTCTGCAACCCTCACGAAACTGTATTAAGCACTGCAGATACGTGGTGTAATATGAAATGTCCTCCCACACAACACACAAGAAACTATTTCCAAAAAAAAAACAATATATTCTACAATCCGCACATTTATGCCTCATTTTATTGGCAATTGAAACTAACTCAAACTTCTCACATTCCTCTTCACGAAGCAGATTTGTTCTGCTCATTATTTTCTGAACTTGTCTTCCATCATCGACATGTCATCCTGATGACAGCTCACGCCTTAACAAAGGAGCGCTGTTTTAGAGAAAATCGCCTCCTTCCATAACAGGGCTGTCCAAATTCCGGTCCGTGCAGTACCTATTAGCCACGTCGCTTGAAGCAAAACGCTGTGTATTTATCACCAGTCTCTGTACTCCGTATCTAAGCGCTGTACGTAACCTGGAAAAATAATCGTAGCAACAGAGGAGCAAGTCCTAAGGGACCAGGAACCACCAACGTCAGACCTAAAGTGGTATAAATCAAATTCCTCTTAATTCCATATAGAATTAGGATTCTCGTTAATAGGAAAGTAAAATGTCGTGCTATTTGGTGTGTTACCTAACTATATGGCTTACCGAAACCGAAGGTTCATCACCGAATTAACCAAAGCCCTCCACCGGACCCTGTCCTGGGCCAACAAAATCCAGTCTCCTTCAACTCCTATCTCCCATAGATCCCGCCTGAGATTATCCTCCCATCTACTTCTAGGTCTCCCCACGCCTGAGATTATCCTCCCATCTACTTCTAGGTCTCCCCACGCCTGAGATTATCCTCCCATCTACTTCTAGGTCTCCCCACGCCTGAGATTATCCTCCCATCTACTTCTAGGTCTCCCCACGCCTGAGATTATCCTCCCATCTACTTCTAGGTCTCCCCACGCCTGAGATTATCCTCCCATCTACTTCTAGGTCTCCCCACGCCTGAGATTATCCTCCCATCTACTCCTAGGTCTCCCCACGCCTGAGATTATCCTCCCATCTACGTCTAGGTCTCCCCAGCGCTCTCTTCCCGTCAGGCTTCCCAGCCAATACCCGGTGCACACTTCTTGTCCCATCCATATTTAGTGTTTTGCTAGGAAATTTTATTAGCTGTAATATAAATGGGTTTTTTTATTTATGAAAGTGATTAAATTTAAAACCTACACCTAAAAAACTCCCTCTATACCTTTGTTAACTTCCACCACGTTAGCTCTACTCAGCTCATTGACAACGTGTTATAACCAATTCCACGCTGATTCTAGCCTAAGGGTAGTTTTCCATCGACGTTTTTTCTACTAGTTTTAGCGCTGGATAGATGTATATGAGCGAAACGTCAGGAGCAGATGCATGGTGTATTCACGAGCAGAATGAAAGTGCATGAACATAATCGGTAGCTTTATAAACAGCCAGCTATTAACGTAATCATTTAAAAGATATTGTAATTGCGTCATATTGTGAATATTATAATAATTATTTATTTTAATCCGTCTTATCACAATATTTTAAATTTCTTATAATTAAGATAATAAAATATCATTGATGTTCCATATCAATTGATCGATTTACATTTCGGAACATTTACATATTATATGTTATATATTATACAATATTTTAAATTTCTTATAATTAAGATAATAAAATATCATTGATGTTCCATATCAATTGATCGATTTACATTTCGGAACATTTACATATTATATGTAAATGTTAAAATATTGTGATAAGACGGATTAAAATAAATAATTATTGTAATCATTTAAGTAAATAGCCTTCTTGTGTACTTACTTATTACACTCACGATGTAATAATCAGGCAGTACTTTATACAATAAGAACGTGAAGATTCTGTTTAGAAGTATGGAGTTATTACGCGCCACGCTAGCCGAACTTGCATCTTACAGCTTAAAACAGCAAACAGCGTAGACTGGCAAACAGACGTCAACACGTGACATAAACACATAAGTTCTCTTTTTGGGTTTTCTTTATTAATGTGTCTACAATGAAATCATTAGCATACAAATTGAAGCAAATATGTTATTGTACAATAAACATAAAAGTTGATTTTATTGTTAATTAAAAGCCAAGTGTCTGGAAGTATAGCTCCACGTTTCTTAAGACCGACACTAGATGGAAGTGAGTGGTCTGTTTCACCCTCTGACCCGTTTTGCACGTTGCATCCGTTGGAGAGGATGCTGAGACGTGGCGAAGATAAGAGATGAACCCCACCAGCCCATATCCTAACCATCCTACTGACACAAGTATTATTATAATTCCGTTTTCTGTTGAACCGGTTGCATAAGTCGCTCCTTATTTCTCCGTTATTGGATTCAGTTTATCAGCAATGACAAAAAATTGGTCCATTAAATATCCTCCTCCAGTAGTCATTTTGGACAAATTGGCAATGACGATCCTGGAATTCGTGCCAAAATTTCGCAATCCATTGGCGATCGCCACTTTCTCGCCCCCAGTTAAAGTTCGAGCTGAAACATTGATAAACTTGCAGTCTCACAACATAGCTGCTCCCAATTCATGCACCGATACTTATGTTAATTTTATAACATAGACATTTACAGGGACCGAATATAAACAAGACGTGTTAGGGTTTTCATTGCTGGCAGTTTACAGGCCAATATTATTCTGCGAGCCCAGGAACCATGATTGTCATAACAAGTTTGAACTCAGAACACGTACTCTAACTCCAAACACATTTTCACAAAGTTTCGTGTGTTAATCCTTCTAAGCTTTATCTTTAAACTATGAAGGTCCTGAGGATATTGGAATATCTGATGTACAGTATGTCCCATAACAGAACTCTGTAATTTTATAAAATACAAAGCTAGAAAATTTGTTCCAAATCTCTTGTTTTCTGTATCAGAAGTTGGAATTTTTTGGGGGGGCCAAGGACGAGATGGCTCGTCCTAGGTAAAAATCCAACAATTCAGACAGGAAACATGTCACGTTCTACAAATCGTATCTCTTCGAATTGTCCAATATTTTGCCAAATAACAGAGTTATTCCATGGCTCCCAGACTTTTGGAACATATTGGAATATTATTGACTTTTGCTAGAATGATGATTTTCTTTCTGGCAGTGAATATGTTAATCTCGAAATCATTGTTTAATCTGTTGAGCTTTTATCCACACACTTAAGTACATTTCTTTGAATTGTGTTCTACCTTTTAACTTCCTGCAGTCGTCTCGCAGCTGCTTGACGAATACCTCAGCACCACTCCCAGCATCATTTACCTCAGTCGCGAGCTGATGCGACCAAGGCGCGAAAGGTTCTAAATCATGCGAAAGTTTGCACAGTTGGTTTGTCAGTGCGATGCCTGAGAATAAAACAGAGTGCTTTAGGAAAATTTTGCGTGTCGAACAGAATTAATCTGTGTGTTGTTAGTCGATTCTTTACACATTTATTAGCATAATGAAGGTTGTATGGGTTTGAAACTTGGTCTGTCAGTAGGAGATACACCGAAGGCATTTCAGAAAAACAATTCTTGAGAAGAATACTATTTCTTGTATTTAGGATTGAAGTCTCGAACCCAAAAGAAAGGAAGTGACGAAATTATTAGAAAATTACATAATGAGGGGATTCATATTTGTGGAAGGTGAAATCGAGGATATAAGATGGGCAGAATATGTAGTACGCAAAGAGGTGAAAAATGTATTAAGGCTTCTGACGGAAAATCTGAAAGAAAGACACTATTCGAGAGCGAATGATGTAAATGGGAAAATACAATGTAATGAATTAAATAAATAGTAGGTGAGGTAAGATATGGATTGGATTTATATGGCTCAGAATAGGCTCAAGCGTCAGGTTCTTGTGGTTTAATAAGACGCGGAGATTTTCTTGATCTGTTAAGCGTGTATCAGCGTTTTAAGAAGAACTCTGCCGCGTGGAGTTAATACAAACGTAATGTACTTTGGAAAAATAATAATAATAATAATAATAATGTTTCAAATTCAGAGGTTATATAACTTCGAATTAAATGAGACAGTGTTTATGAAAGGTAAGTCGTTAAGGATTTCGAAGGCGGCTGCTGAAGCGTGTTTCAAAAATCATATCCCGACGTTTACCCGAAGAGACTGAGAACAATCACGAAAAACATGTAATTCTAGCTGACAACCCAGTCGATATTAGAACTAGTTATCACCGTAATGTTTTATAGTCCAAGAATTTTGAAACGAATATGAATTCTTATCCATTCACATCCTTCCCAATTAACTCACAAGGCTATATAACTTCTGTATTTGACACGGTGTCGTCAAACACGCACGAAGCACGATGGTCTATAACAGGTAACTCTATCTTGAATTTCTCAGTCTCATCCGTGGTTATGTACGAAAATAAGTAATTTATATATGATCTGTGTTAACAAATTTATGCACTTGGCGGCTTCAAGAAACATCTGTGTGTTTCCAGACAACGTACAGCTGATAAATTGCATATAGCGGCCCCCTTTGCGTCATTTTACGCCTCAAGAACCTAAGTACCGATGAAAATAAACAATAGTGTCCTCTAGTAAATATGCACTCCCTGCTCAAACAACAATAAATCTATCAACGACCAATGGTTATGTAGGTAGCCTGAGAGAGCACGAACAGAAGAGTGAAATTCACAAGACTCAATCTCCCAAGCCTAATCCTTGCAAAAATTACTTACTGGAGTCTGATGTCTTATCTGCACATTTAGCCATACATAACACCTGAAATGCAAAGAACCAGAGTAATTACAAGAAGTTCGAAAGAAATCAAACATTGTTTCCCCATTCTTCTTAAACGTTCGCTTGCCGTAATTACAAACACTGTTCGTATTGAAAGTACCTGATAATTGAATTGTACGCAAGAAATTGAGTCAGCTGACACCGTCATAGCAGAACTGAAAGGTGCCAATACCAAAACAGACCACTGATGAAGTTCACTAATGGCGTCATGGAACATCCGAAACATATGTCATACAGATACGTGCCAGAACACGAGCTGATACGTGCAATAGTGTACAAATTTACAGGACTCGATTTTGTGTGGAGGCGATTATTTAATAGTTTCTCCTACAACGTGACGTTCCAATACAATTTTATATCAATTCGCTTAATTAAAGAATATAATACGATTTACTACGCCATAATCTCAAATATGACCTTATGTCGACGTTATAATGAGTGCGCTGCATTGTACAGAGTACATTTACATGGTACGTATCCCTGAACAGGGTTACTATGGGAACGGCTGCCATACCATTCCACAAAACCCGAATCCGTCAACAGAAAATAATCACCATATCATGGAAACTGTTATGACAAAACACACATTAATAAATAGTATTACATAAAACCTTTAAGAATAGTAAATGATCACCAACCACTCTTAAATGTCTCAGAGTTAAATTATAAGATGGATTAAAACTTTCAATATAGATCCCAACACCAAATTTGGTCGAAATCTGATAACTATTTTTTGCAATACTGAACATTAGAATGGCCAGACGTGTCCTTTATAATTTACGTTAAATGTATTAAATTTGTTCAAAAAAATGCACAACACCAAGTGAAAATCTTATACAAATCATTAACAGTGCAGTAATTTAACAAGGCGACTGTGTATAATTTTCTGATCTTCTGCATTGTTTTAAGTAACCTCTACTTTACATATTGTACATTCGATTCAAGCAGGTAAAAGTATAAGTGAAATAATTCGACTTACATATACAAATATGAAGGTGGCCAGTGCCCAATACAGCGGTTTATAAATCATGGTCCTCTAAATAAAACGTGTGTTTGAATGTATCTTGTACGTTTCGCTGTCAAGCAGGAAGGTTCAGCGAAAACAGATCAGAGGTAAGTGTATCTGAAGACAATATGAGGCGTATTATATGGCGTAAACGTTAAGACGCTTAAGACGACTCCCCACTCCTCAGACGACAGCCGTGACATCTAAATCACCTTTTACTACAAGTTTCTTCGATTTCGAAACGACCATTTCGAAGGTCACAACATAGGCAGTAAAAATGAAAACCGGTCACTCTGTCCAAGTTTTCATAGCCTCTGGTCCTGGGATGCTTAACTACTTATTTAGGATACTTAGGCCTTCAGTGCCTTGAGCATCTGCGGGTCCCAACTTTCGTTGGCTTTGCTCTATTAGATAGTTGGTAAGTCTCCTTTATTTTTTTTATTTGTAGTGTTCTGTCTGACGAACAGGATCCTTCCAACCTCTTCAGGTTGTCAGGGACCTGCTCATATATATATATATATATACATTCTTGGCAGAGATGATCAGAAGTGGTTTGCCATTGCCTTCTTCTGTGTGTGAGTGGAGTAATTGTTGGGATGCCACGGAGAAACCGGGGAAGCCCCCGGAGGAAAACTCCGTGATGCCTAGACCACGGCCTCGCCCAACACAAGTTATAAATTTGAGCACCACCGGGAATTGAACCCGGAACCCCAGGCTTACAAGGCTAGTGTTCTGACCGCTAGACCACCGTGGCGAACTCGTCTAAGTCTCCTTAGACGAGTACAAATGGGATATTTGTATAATTTAAAAAGTTAATTCGGGTCGCATAAGACATCTAAAAGGAACGCTGATTTGACACAACTTCCCTTCTCGTTTTCAATAACTCTTATCGGACTATTTGCATTAAAAGGAAATTATTCTGAATTTTGCGCACAGATTGCGAGTCTCAGAATAAACAGCTACTATGTCGTTACACGATATTAATTTATTGGTCTTTTAATGGAGAAGTTGTATTTTGTTTGAGGTAGGAAGTGAATACTTCAACAATACCTAGACAAATTGCGGCTTTAAGGGATTATGCTCAAGGCCTGGTGTCTCATTACGTACAAATACTACCTTGTCTTTAAAAGTGTTGCGTTCTCAGACACCAACGTCAAAAGAATTCTAAGCATAAAAATATACAACTAAAAACTAGTCTGTTCGCGTGCTAGTCTAGTCTGCTCAACACCAAGGCCAGACTAGATTATCTATTTGCTCTGTTTAATATATTTAAACTCAGTTCACTAAAGGCGTTACTTAGGAGTTAATAAACAAAACACATTAACAGGCGCCTATGACTACAGACCTGATCTCATAAAATAGATATATCAGTCACTACCAAGTACAATAGTTATCAGACGAACTCAATAAACACTTTCAATGTTTAATATTACAGGCAAGAATTTCTAAAAGTTTCTTAAGAAGATGTGTCAATTACTTTTCATTTTGTGTATCCTCACGCAGTGTTTCAGAATCTGGCCCGAGACTGGTTATGAAAAGGCCGCGTGGGGTGTGTGGCCGAATGGTCCCTTTAAATGATTTAATCACAGCCGCTGGCTTATGCCCAGGTAAGAGAAAAGACGATGGATATGGTTAAATAAATAACTAATTGTGACAGATCAGTCAGATTTAAGGTCCTCACATTTTTGAGGTGTCGATGGTGATATCGTGAGTTGTGACGCCGTATGGGCTTGTAGATGGATACCAAAGCTTCGGAGAACTAGGCTATATTATTTCTGCAAAATTTTTATCACCAAAATTCGTTAATTGAACAGCAGTAAAAAATGAAGTCAATATATACATGTTTGTCCTTGTCTTCCTATTGAGATTGTTATTGGCAGTAAACAGTAATAAAATATACAACCCAGAAGACAGCTATCTCGCATATTAATTTCTTTTGTAGCTGGTATAGATATTCCACGCTGTATATTTCATAAACGAACAACAGCATGACGTTTTTGCTACAATTTTATAAATAAATTATTCTACAAGGTCTTAGACTGACACCGTTTCCTTGTTACCGACGGAACATAATTATGAGTGGTTTGACCAAACTAGATTCCAACGTCCCAGACATACGAGGTGCGATCAGAAAGTTTCAAGACTGCGCCTATAAAAA